CCTTTAATTTCTGAATAATTTAGTCAGAATGATTTAAACTGTTAAATGCTCTTTGACTTCAGAGAAATGATAGCTCTTACAGCTGGTGATTCAGACTAACCTGAACAGAAATGAGCAATGACCTGTACAACCTACAACATCCTTTTTATTCCCTACTATAGTCTCAGGGCACATAGCACTCCAGGGTCAAAGACTTCACTAGAAAGTCTGAAGTAACCTGGCATTTTTAATCATGCAGTCAGCCTAGGGAGGAGAGCTGCCTGCTACCACATCTTTTCCTCAACCACATGGCCTTCTAAAAATGAATTCTCTCTATTCCCTAATCATGCTGCTCAAGGATGATCACTTTGTCTTTTTTTAATGTGAGGATATTGCTAACTCCTTTCATCATTGCTGAGATCTCTTGGGACAATCTCCTTCAGCCAATGATCCTTTTCAACCTGCCTACTCCCTCCATCAATGATAAGATCAAAGCTACCCACTTGAAAGGAAATCTTTAGTATTTAATTGGTGTCTCCTTTTTCCTCATGTGCTGATGTTCTGGCAAAAGTTAAAATTAAAACCCACACGTGCTCGCTGGTGTAAAGATTCCATGCCAGCAACACACAGGTCATTGGCCCCATCACAATGTTCCAAATAGCTCATCAGGAAAAAAACACCTCTCTACAGCAGAGCCATCAGTCAGAGCCCCAGAGTAAACAACTTGGTTACAGCCATTTGTAACGTATAGCACAGGGAGCACGCTGGTTCCGCAGCTATTCACAGACTCCCACTCATCCCAGCCAAGCTCCTGTCATTCAGGTCTTGGCACTGCAGCAGAGTCCCTGCCCTGGCGCAAATCAGCAGTGTGAAAATCACTGCACTTGAGTGAAAGAGGCTTCCAAAGTGCACCTGTGCCTTGAAGTCACAATGCACTCTTGCCTACCTAGACTGTTCCAGGTTTCAGGCAGTTATCCCTCTCCAGAAAAGTGTTACATGGTGGATCCTAGAGGGATCCACATATACGCCTCTCCTCTGTGCAACTGGGAAAAGGTTCTTCAATCTACCTAACAAAAGGGATGGAAGTTAGGGAGGGAGTCACTCGTATTCTCACTGACAGTTCTAAACCACTATAGGAAGAGGAAAGCAGAAAGACAGGAAAAAATGCTGTTTCCCTTCCTGAAAAGTGCCACCCAGGAATTAAACATACAGTGCAGGTCATTCCAGTCCAGAAAAACCAGCAGAGAGATCATAAACTCCTACTGAAGGTGGTTCTTAGAGAAAGCACACATTGGGAGAGCCACCTTTTGTACGAAATATCTGAAAATATCAACAGCTGTTCTTTGCACCTGCATGTAAATCCATTTTGACCAAATTTTACTATATTTTTAATAAACAACAGCTCATGCCCTGCTAGCAGAAGAATTTACATCGTGTAATGAATACTGTTTTAAGAAAAAATATTTTCAAAGCATTGATTCTGCTGCAGTCATTATGGTAAAGGCCCATCAATGAAATGGCATTATGTCATTAACCAGGGCTGTCACAGAGATGTATTACCTTTAGCTAGGAAATGATTTGCAAGCAAAAAGTGAAAGTGCCTGTTTTCTATTCTGTGATGATGATGCAGCTTGCAATAATGGTAATAATAGGACAGATTTGGCCTGTACTTTCTACTGAACAACCACAGTAAGTCATTGAGTCAGAAAATCTGGGAGGCACAATTTGGCTGTATATGGTACTAACATAACATTAAAGAGGTAATATTCCCTACCTTCAGCCTTTTCTCTTTTTTTTCAGCTATTTTTTCCCAGTAGTGGAAAATGAACTATTTAAGAAAGCTAGGTTATGAAGTATTTGTCAGCTGTTCACTGTAGTGAATAAACTCAGTGAAACACACAGCTCCATTCATTGCAAATGATGTCATTTATGTACAAACAGATGCAAGATCAGAGTGTAAAACTGAGTGATGGGGGTGCATTGTATTAGTCATGAGGGGTGGAATTCAAGAATGCCTAATAGAAATACAACTCATTTGAGAGATGCTTTAGTGACTTGCTGGTAAAAAAGGAGCAACTATGCTTCTGGCAAAATATCAAACACTCCTACTTTCTACTGACCTGGCAAGCTGGGAAGTTCCAGCAAAGGCAGGATCAGACCAAATGTGTTTCACAGCACTCGTTGACAAGACCCCAGAACTGTCTGCACTGTTTGTACAGATGCAAGTGCGACCATGCTGTTTCATGAAACTTCTCTTCAAATACAATTATTTTAATGTACAATGAACATCCTAGAATAAGGTCAGTGAAAGAAACTATATGATTTCCTTGTGATTGAAAGAACAGTGTTATTTAAAACCACTTCCAAGGCAGACCATGCAAGGGAGTATTTGTTGTCATGAAGGGTTTGTGGGTCTGAGCCTTAGTTTGTACATACACTGCTATAGACTGAGACAATGAAAAAAGTCCCAAACTGTCAGCAGTACGAGGGCCTGGGAAATGCTGCAAGTTAAACAAGCCATGTTTTGAAATTAGTGTTAGAAGAAAGTCTGCATTTCAGGGAGCCTGAAAACACTTTTGCTATTTGCACTTCTACCTAATACGGTGAAAAAAATAACAGAGATGAATGTCAGGCATGGTTTGTATGACAAGATTTACAGGGCCTGCCTCATATTACCCTTCGGAGAGGCAGCAAACAGTCCTTGCTGATCTGCAGTTAATCTTACAGGACTGGCTCAGAAACCTACCCACACTAATAATAGACCCTGTGTGCTGCTGCCAGTAGGTTCACACTGAAAGGCATTGGGGAGCACAGATCAGTGTTAAAGAAAGCAGAAAATAACTCCTATGTTGGACAGACCGCACCTTTCGCTTCGTTAACCAACACCTCCCAGAAGTCACCAAGGAGGTGGGAAAGCCTCAGTACCACAAGAAATTAGGTTCATGGTTACCTGATAGATCACGACCCGGAATTTGTTTTTTCTCAGCATCTCCTGCTGTTTTGCTTCCACCTTCCGCACGCTGGTGCTCTGCCTCTCCACGCGCGCCCGCACCTCCTTCATGGTGGAGCTGACTTTGCTGGTTTTCTGCAGTAACTTGTTCACCGTGAAGCCTGTATTGCCATGAGCCTGGGCAAGCTTTAACATGTCAATCTGAATGGTCTTGATGGCATTTTCCATCTCCCTGTGCTTCTCCTCTATCCTTTTCTGGCTTGCCTGCACGCTGTCAACTATGTTGGCCACTTTGTCCAGGACTGTCACAATTGTGTAAGCCGCATCTTGCTCTTCCTCCTCCTCGATGACACTGGAGAGACGATTTTGGTGCGTTTTGTCAGCCTCCGAGGTGAATTCGCGGTGATCCATTCTGCCTGCCTTCAGCCAGGTTGGAGGGAGGCGAAGTCTCGGTGATCCTGCCAGAATGATTCTGGCGCTGCTGCAGGGAGCCAGGACGACAGCTGGCTCCGGCGATGCTCAAAGTAGGGCGTGAAACGCCACTCCTGGAGCTTGGTCAAATACTTCTGACTACAAAATATCCACACATGATTGCTCAGATACTTTCAGCAACATGAAACCCCTAAAATTAGGAAGCAATATCTGGAAAGGAACATACGTTTAAAGGGTCACGCTTCTGTACTGATGAAGTTATTAGTGTTAATCCAGGAAAGTTAAGTAACTTGCTAATTAAGCAGGAAAGCACACTTGCATATTTTTAAAGATCTACTTTTGTTTTCATGTTACTGGAGTGCTTTCCTCTGAGGGAATTCAAAAAGCGGTCAGGAAAATTAGCACGGCTGTTTCTTTTCCAGCAAAACAACTTCAGGTCTTCAGCTTGCTGCAATTACCCCATGGGGTAGCAAATAAACACACTAAACCAGAGGCAATATAGTGAAAACGTTGTATTGTGACATGCTTTTCCAGTTCAAAATGTCGAAAGCATTTTTCTTTTTTATTGAACAAATTATTAAATCCTACATGCAAAATTCTGAAAGCCTACACTACATGTTAAAACAGCTGAACACATCCTATTCACACTTTATCTTGGGATCTTTCAAACGACAACTAACAGTCTATTAATATAACTATGACCAGCAGACTAATTTGGATGGACTTCTTTCGCTCTTGAAAATACTCTATACAAGAGCACTAGTAATTCATTCACTTTTATTTTTTTTTTATTTTGATCACAAACACTATACAATCTGTATTGTAGGTGTTAAAACGTATTTTCTTTAAAAAAGTTTAAGAAGTATTAAAACAGTTTTAACAGTGATAAAGTAGGCTTTATTCCAATTATTTGTGTTCAATTATTCAACACCAATTTTTACAATACCTAAATCTACTAAGACCTACTTCTTTTGGACCTGTGCCATCTGTTCTAGCAGGTAACTTCCCAAATTATGAAATTTACAATTTTCGTCTTTAAAAATAAATTGCTGGAATTATTTCTGAAGATGGCAGTGCTTAGACCCAGCCCACACATTTTATAAATATGTTACAACTACACACAGCACACAGCTTCACAGTTCATGCGATAGGCAGTGTCTAAAAAATCAGTTACTAACTTCCAAAAACATTTAGATATCTACCGTATTTAAACACAGTGTTTTCTAGTTCCTCATAAGAAAAGTAAGCTGTAAACATTTTTACCTTTAGTTCATGCCTTGTTTGTTAGGTAATGTGGAATTATTTTGTTGGTTTGTTGGGGTTTTTTTTTAAGTCTACAACCATTGTTGGAATAAATCTGTGTTCCCAAAAATATTACATTCCATGGATAAAGCACAAGTCTATTATATAACCATGTGATACAGATACAGAAAATGAACTACTGTATTCAAAAACATAAAAGTAAAGATACTAAAGCAGTCCATAGCTGTTAGAGCTGATGCTTTCAGAATACAGACCAACATTGTGACACTAAAAATGTTCAAAAATAAGGCCTCTGAAATAAATATTTCCATTCTTTAAAAAAAGATATAATAAAAATGTACATCACATGGTCAATGTAGGTATAAAAAGCACTAAGTTAAACCATTCTGGATGATGTATCTGAAGTAAAATGGCCTAGGTTTTGCTTCTGCCGACGTCCTCTATTATTTTTGGGGCATTTTCTGTTAAAAAAAGAGAGAGAATAGGAAAGGAGGGTTGATTTTATATATGCCACCTATAATTAAGCCTAACAATCATGCATTGACTTAATTTTCTGTATTTAACAATAGTAAGGAGTCTATGATCTGTGTTGACAAGGGAACTCCTGCTGTTCAGTACTGGGCTGTGACCAGGGAATGTCTGTAGGACCCCAGATCATGCAGAAGGGGAGCCCTGCTTGACCTTGAGACTGAAACCAGCAAGGTGCTACATCCTTCAGGCTTGATCCCGCAAACACGTTCCATAGGGAATGACTGCATTAGCTTTACTTTAAACATATTTCATATTTAAACCCAGTGGAAGGCGAGACTGGATCAATCAGCCTTTTGAAGTGCTGGACCTCCAGGTGCCTTGCTGCTCACTGCAGCCCATGAGACAGAGCCCACCCAGGTCTCTCTGTGGGGTGACTCTGTGGGGTCCCTTTCTTGGGGCCAGACACACAACTAAAAGGATTCACAAAAGCCAGCAATCCTGAATGGAATGGCACTCACTCAGCCCAGGCAATGAATGATGGAGCAGCCCTGCTGGGATGCAACAAGACATGAGAGACTGAGAGCTAGGGAATGGTCATACAGAGGCTGAAAGAGGAGCTGAACCATAGCCTTCCACACCACTGCTTTGGCCAGCAGGATGTTGAGTGAAAAAGGGAATGACATCAATTGTATGAGCCAAGTAACTCTTTTACATGTGCAGGTGGTGTTTTATAGGTGTGCTGGTGTCTGTTAGGTTGAACTTCACAAGGGACACAGGGAAAAAGGCCTGTATTGTTCATTCATGGGGTGTCCCTCTACATCACTGAGTTTTGGAAGCCTTAAACTAATGCAGTAGCAGAAAGTTTTATGGCCCAGTGTAAGTGGAGCTGAAAAAGTGAAGGATGACTTGAGAAGGAAAAGTCCAACTGTGGCACAGATGCTCAAGTGTAAGACTTAAATACTTCATGCACCTATCAGTCATCCTTTATCTATCTCAGAGACCTCAGTTTTTTGTTTGGTTCAAGTCCTGGAACTGAATGCCTTGTCATCAAAAGCAACCCATGGCTCTCATCTGAGTTTTTACATAGAGTGAGAACTTCAGACAACCCAGAAACCTGAAATCTGTGCTTGTGTGTCTTTAAGTTTCACAAAACAGGTTCTTAAGGTGAGTGTCTAATAATGGGACTAAGTTGCACACTAATTTTCAGAAAGTGTAAATGGTGTGAGGGGTACTTCTTTCTGTGGGTAACACCATTTACAGTGGTACCACAGGGAACAGCATCTTGTCAGCCTCTCTGGTTTCACTGGGTGGTAGCTGGGGATCATAGGTTCCACAAAATTCAGCAATATCTCAGTAAGTCCAGTGAAAGCCTAACACAGTGGCTTAACTCTTGGATTTGTTTTATGGCTGATCTGTTCTGCTGTGTGTTTGGTCTGGAGATTCAGAGTGGTTACTGGTGGTTTCTGAAGTCAAACAAATCTGTCTTTTGTGACCAAAGAAACAAAGGGGCAGACGGGATGTTACATAATCATCCTGCTTCAGTCATTAGGTAGTTGGGTATTAAGCAAATAAAATGTTGGACTTCATATAATTAAATACAGAAAATGTATATCCATACAATGTGTAAATTTTCAGTGTTTTTGTCTTTACCTACCTGGTTATGCACATGACAATTGCAACTATAATGGCAATCTGTACAGCTCCAATTATTGCTGCAATAAGGACATGCGTAAGCTTTTGTCTGCTTGGGACAACGTAAAGAATACTAAAGTCTGTCTTTTCACAGTGCTGTCCAGTATATCCTGATTCACACCTGAAAAAGAAAAGGAATATTTCATGGAATCTGTAATTTGACAGCACCCCAGTCATTTTGCAGATGAAATGAGAAATCCAAGGTGACTCCAGCTGAGAAAGAGCTGATGAGAAGGTGCATGTGTGATAGTGCTTGGGTTAGGGAATGGTTTGGATCTGTGTGGCAAGAGAAGAGCTAGACCAAGTAGATATGCTCTGCTTTTTCTGGATAAGGTTACTAGTGGCCCTCTGAAAACACACCAGTGTGGGGAAGACCCTGATTTGTCAAAAGAAGTATGTGGGCCGTTATTATATTGGTACAATATTTAGGAAGAGTGTAGCAACTGGGTGGAACAAGTAGACACTTGGAAGACCAGTAGACAAGGCTAAATTAAATGCCAGGATCAGCTCATGAAACACAGAGAGAGCACAACTCATTCAGCTCCATTGTCAATATGGGACAGAAGTGACAAAGAGGAAGGGGAACCTTGAAATATGGATTGAAAATCCACCTTGAAAAAAGAAGACCTCTTTTCAAACTGCAACCTAGAGAAGTGGAATTATGCAAAATCTACTGGACAAGACCAGCACCAAACCCCCTCCTGCCTTATGGCTCAGCCAGAATTTGATGGAGGTCAGCTTAGAAAACTCAATGGCTCACAACTGTTCCAGTGAGAGTTCAAGGAAGAATCCAAAATAATTTGCATGGGGTGGGGGAGAAATAGCTGGAAGCAGAAGAGAAGCAGCTCCCTAAATGGTAACTTGCCTGAACAAAGCAGCAATTAGCTCAGTGAGAAGCTCCACAGTGGCTGTTCCTGAGCAGTGATGTGTTCCAGCAATGCAAGATGTGCCAGTGCAAACACACTCTGAAACAATTCATGTCTCAAGGCAAAAGAGGCTCAGGCACAAGAAAAGGCAAGAGCCACCCAAAGCACTGAGATGAAGTCTGCAGGGTCAAAGGCCACCACATAGAACCCTGAGCAAGTTCCTAGGACAGCTGTCCTTTAGACTGACACAAATGCATCACTATGGTCAACTGAACCATACAACTGGCCTCCAGCTCTACAGCTGCAGAAGAAACACTGCCACGCAGGCAGAGCAACAATCCTTTTGTAAACTGGATCTGACAAGTCCGAATGCAACACAAAATCAGACTCATCCATTCAAAAGCTTTGTGCTAGGGTAGGAATTAATTCTGTTTGGAGCAACAAAATAATTACACCAAAGACCTTTTTACAAATGCTAATGCACCTCCTAATCCCCCTCTGCATGCAGGGATAATAGTTGGGGTTTACATGTTCATAATCTTGTGACTCTACTTTCTCCAGCCATGAGCTGCTGTGTAAGGAGTTTTGGTTCAGGCATGAACCAAATTCCAGTAAGACTTGTTAAAGAAAACACTCCATGTGGTAGAAGTGTGCCCAGTGGTAGCCAGGAAGGGAATAAAGAGAACTCTGTATATGAAAAGAATGAGGACAGTGAACACACTGGTAATCATGCAAGAAAACACAGAAAGGAAGAGGTCTCCTTGTTAGTCAAGAAGACTTAAATCTTATGGTTACTTTGCTTTTGTTTTCATTAAAGAAAGCAGCAGATTAAATATTATCAATGTGAAAGCTGCTTTAATGCAGAGGAGACAAAACAAGGCAGAGAGGATGCACAAGGAATTCAAAGATGTTTCCTCAGAAACACTGAAAAGACAAGAAATTATTCCTCAGAAATACTGAATGCAGATTCAGGAGCAAAAGTGCTTGCATTAAGAATTACATAATGGCAGGATGAAGTAGTAGTCACTAGTTTTTTATCTTAAACTAGTAGAACAGATTTTAAAACATTCTGCTGCATAAATGCATTACAAAATAATATAGCATTAGTATAATAGCAAGATCAATAGAGGTCAGCAAGGATTTATCAAAATAAGCTGATTAGTCAATTAATTGATTTAGCATAAAGAAGTTTAGATTTCTTTTTAAAGGGCTGCACTGTGTGTCCTTGATGCAGCCAGCCATAAGGACAGGGCAGAACTGCACTGCACAAGGGGGGCAGCAGGAGACAGATCTGATCCCATCTGTGCAAAGGCTGCCTAACTCTATACTGTGCTACGGACTGCTACAAAACCTTCCTCCCACCTGCCTGCTGGCAGTCCTGGAGGGCTGCTGCACAATAAGCAAGGAGATTCACTGCCCTCAGTGAAAGCAGAACTCAGAATTTGCTCTGCACAAGTATTTTCTGCAGTTTTTTAGGTCATCAGATACCTCACATACATCGCTACCAGCAAATGAGGACCAAATTAAACAATGTATATGCTAGATGTCTATGAGAACTGAAAGCATTTGAAAATAGCAATTTGCCCTTAGCAATCATCATTATATTTTTCTTGCTGGAGAAAGAGAATTTTTTTCTCTGTTAGAAGTACATGATTACTATGGCAGATTGATGTCTGTTATAAACTATTTGTTTCCTTAATAACTCTGCTCCAGTACAAAACATGCATAAAGCATGAGACCATCAGTATTTTAATGGCCAAGAAAAATCCAAAGGAGGTCTGATACTCAGGGTCAGGAACTGATAGTCACAAATTCTGGGCTGGACACACATGAGGTTTGTTGTGCTAGGCTCAGTACTGAGATACTATTCAGAATATTTAAATACATAGCTGAAGCTAGCAACAGCAAATGTAGCTATAAAATAGAATTTAAAAGGATGGTACATGAATTAAATCCATCAAAACATTGCCTTTTTTTTAAATCATTACTTACTAGTGTATTAATAAATATTTAAATGATTGAATTTTTGCTGAAACATAAACTGATAAACTATTACAAGATTAGCACCTTCCAGAAAAAAACTCTGAAAAAATAAAAATTAGTTAATTCAGACAGGAATGTTTCCCTTGAAATACTGCTACTTTAAACATTTTGAGGACAAATACATTATAAATTGTGTTAAATACAGTTCTAGACCAAAAGAATACTGTAATCAGATAGTGTTGCCTGATGCCCATCAAGATGATGGTGGGGATGCACCCAGTTTCCCAAAAGAAGCAAAGCCATGTTGAGTTCTCTTGATTCCAGACAAAAAGAAAACCGAAACAGTCCTATTGGAAAGCTGAAAATAAACGAGAAATGGTCTTGCATGGTAAAATAAATAATAGAAGCTTTCAAGTGCCTAAGTTGACAACAATACTGGCTCTGCCATTTTGGGGCTTCCTGCTCTCTGATCTGTTTGGAAACCCTTAAATCTTGCCAGTGCAAAAAACACCTAAATATCATCAATCAATAAGGATCAAGGGAGAAAATATGAAAGCATCCAATGGATTTACAGCTGGAGTTTCAAAAGCAAAGGAAAGCAAAGAGTTATGGCAGTTTCAGCCACATTAATCTGAAAGTACAAGCTCGCAAGATAAAAGCTCAGAAGTGAAACCTCCTAACAAGTAGGGCACTGCACCCTATTGCAAAGTGGCCTTTTGCTATAAACAACATTTATAAAATAACAATAACAACGACAATAATAATAATATTTTGGAGGACAAAAAAGATGCAGAATTTGATTGGTGAAATGTAAAGGAAAAATATTATGTGGGAGCTAAGGAACATTCATGTATTCTAGAAAACATTGAAGGGCTTAATACCGAGTGTTCTTAGTTGCTAGTGTACACTGTAGACAAAAGGTGTGGGCTAAAGAATATTTTGCAATTTTTTATCCTCTAGATGAAGCCTATCACTGTGAAAAAGGGCAATAAATGTTAAAAATAAGGTATTGATTCTCTAGAGAGGGTTTACGACAAGTACAATAAAATGTGCTGATAGTGTAAGAACAGGCTGAGGGGTCAGTGGGGAAAGAACAGCCACAGAGAGAAGCCATGCAAGGCAAAGGCCTTTTTAATGTGTTTCTATTTTGTTTGCTTTTTTAGCTCTGGATATGATTTAGCAGCTGAAAATAAGAAGAGAACACTGAGGCTACTCCTCAGAGGGATTCAGGTTCTGATGTACCTGAGTGACCGAGCCTCTCCTCTGAGCACTATCTCCCTCCTGACTGGAGCAGCTGGTGCTGCCCACAGCACAGGGATACTCCTCCTGTGCCACTGCTTAGATATCAGAAAGTGACACATGCTGTCATTATGTCTAGAGAGCATTTTGATTAAGCTTTGCAGTGATTTCAATCAGATTTTGGAAGGACTTACCGGCAGGAAGCCTTCTGAGTGGAATAAATGAACTCACATTTTCCATGTATACAGTAACCATTGAAGCTTTCTGAACAAGGTATATGGTTTCCAATGTAAATGTCTTCTCTTTGATCACTGGCATCTTGAAAAGAAATATACATAAACAATTATACATGGGTCTATGATGTTAATTTCAAACTCTCAACCAAGAATAGCATATCCTTAAAAACTTGCAGTGATTAAAGGAATAGAGAATAATAAAGCAGAGGCTTAAGGGGGAAGTTTCAGAGGCACCTACAGAGATTTGCTAGAAGGTACTGCACTGGAAAATGATCCTCAGAGACATCTAAATATGCTTTTTATACCAGGTTTCTCAAAAAGGAGAAAAGTGTTCATGACAGAAACAAACCGAAGCAGGAAGATCAGCAGAAGCTTTGTCAGTGGCACTGGGGCAAAGAGCTAATACACAGACACAGAGAGCTCTCTCCCATGTGTAAACAGATGAAAAAGAACTCTCTAAAAAGGATTAGAAAGATGTTGAAGCACATTTTGTGATTACTGGGTAGAAAAGCACTTGATACAGCCCAGATCTGATTGGTACCACTGGTGGTTGAAGTTGAAATCTAACACAATCTTCAATAGCAGTCTTCCCCAGAGAAACATCCCAGAGAAACATTTTTTTTTTTTTTTTTTTTTTTTTTTTTTTTTTTTGGAGAGAGAACTTAAAAGTATTGAAATGTGTTTAGAATACCCATTCCTTTGGGAGGTGTGCTGGTTTTGGCTGGGATGGAGTTAACCTCCTTCACAGCAGCTGATGGAGTGCTGTGGCTTCGGTTTCTGGCTGAAATAATAGTGGTAACACAACACTGTTTTGGCTGTTGCTGAATGGAGCTCACACAGCATCAAGACTTCCTCTGCTTCTCACTGCTTCTCCCCTGAGCAAGAAGACTGGACAAGCCTGGGAGGGGACACAGCCAGGACAGCTGACCCAAACTGGCCAGAGGAATATCCCACAGCAATGACATCATGCTCAGCAATAAAAATGATAGTTTTGGTATTTCCAAAGTGGCATTTGCTCAGAGATTGGCTGGCCATCAGTCTGCTGATGGGATATTGTGAGTGACAGGTTTTGCATCTCTTGTTTATTTTTCCACTTTTTCTTCACCCCTTTGCTTCTAAAACTGTTTTTAGCTTCACCAGTGAGTTTTTCTCATGTGTGCTTTCCTGTTTCTTTCTTCCATCGTCCTGAGGGAAACTGGAATAGAGCAAGCAACTAGTGGGCACCTAGTTGTTGTCCAGCTCAGCCCAGCACAGGAAGGCAGTCCCTTCTTCCTCAACATCTGTCATGCTTCTGTTGTTTTACCAAAACTGTCCAAAGCTGTGTTCATTTTCAACCATTTTTCCTCCAAAATTTTTTGGTAAAGAAGTCCTAAACACAGAAGTTGGTATTTCATAATGAACAGGGATCTTCAGATATGAGGGTAATTATAGAATTGTGTTCATTTCCACGGCAATAGACTATAGCTTCACAAATAAAAGGCTATAAAGCAAAAGGCAGTGTGAAGAAGAAATCTCTTCTACAATTGCAGGTATTTGAAATTAAATCAGCAAGAAAGATAATGTATTTTTACAAGACAAAAAGGGAGATATGCTGCTGGTTTAGGTTTTTTCTGAAATGTCTGGAATGTATTTTAATTTGGTTCTGGAGAAAAAAAACCCAACCCTGTATTAGAGGTTTTAGATATTAGGAAGCATGTTAATTCAGGCTGTTTTGAAGATAGAGAGGAATTGACACAAGGGAAGAATGTTGACTAATACTGACAGCGTGTCTACCACTGCACTGATGGAGTAGATTATGTAGTGACGTGTCTGAGAGGAGAAAAGTGGGGATGTCTCATCCCCAAACGATCATCTCCCTCCTTTACCAAGAATTTAGTTACTGTCATATCTGGTCCCAATCAAGCCTTGTAATGAGCCACAGACAATCATATTAGTATGTTCAGAGAGCTGCACCATATCTGGTTTTGATACATGTACACAGTGTGAGGCCCAGTGGAAAACTGATAGGTGCACCCCCCGAAAAGAGGCCAGACAGCCACACACAGGTCAGAGGCAAAACTTACATTAAGCAAGAGGGTGTTAAATGCAGGAGGTGATTCCTAGTGTAAAATAGACATTAACCTCCCTTTTGACAGGAATCCATTTTTAATCAAAGATACCTGCTAGACTGCTTCAGAGCTTCAAAGTGAAAGATGTAACTGGTGTAGGAGCCTTGAAAGAATGACTGGATATAGGAGTTCAAAAACTTCACCAGAAGGAAGAGTCATACATAAAATCTGAAACCCTGATGCTCATCTTGGTACAGCAAAACCACCAAGCCAGCTCAATCTGGGAACAGAGTCCTTTCTGATGGAACTTTAGGTAGCCACTTGCACTGCAGGAGAAGACCATCCCAGTTCTAGAGACTAAAAGATATTATCCATTCAGAGAACAGGGATTAACTCACAGGAACTGAAAGCAAAAGCAAACAGGTAGGAGTGTGGACTGTTCTCTTATCCTGGATGAAAAAAACAATTCAAAGAAGTTCAATTCAGGCTCTCACTATCTAAAGAGACCTGAGTACAGTATTAAAAAATTTCAAAACAGCCTTTTTTCATGAAGCATACTCTCTCCATCCACATCATTTGCTGAATGTGAAACTGCATAAGCCATACACATTAATAGTAATAATTATATACAATGGTTTTTCCACTAACTAGATTTCAAGGGCAATTTACATGCAATGAATAAAAGGCTGTTACCTTTTTGGAATAGGAACTGAAAGTGGTGTTTCATTATATAACATAATAAGATGTATATTGCATTTGGTGCCTTTTATACCTTCATAATGTAAGTGAAAATTGACATTAAATCACTCCAACTGGTACATCATATGCAGTGAAAATAAGAGAATTTGTGAAAAGAGAATAATATATGAAGCTTTTTGGCACTGAATGACTTTTCAAGAAGAACACAGGGAATGTTGAAAGCCATGTTGGGATTGCTTTACTCAGGAAAGCCATGGGAGTGCAAAACAAGTATAATGTCAGAAAAGACTGAAGACCAGAGCTAACAGAGAAGGTACCAACCCTTTGGAACAAAATGTGCATTAAGACCACAACTGAGGAGAAAGAACAGAGAGTTATGTTCATTTGTGATTCCTTCCTGTGCAAAATATAAGTACCCATTTGCAGACTGGATTTTCTTTTCAGGTAAGTTCTATTCCTCCCTGGGACCTGAATTAGAGATGTCACCACAAGACTGAAGAGGTTATTACAACCTTCAGATTATTACTCACTCCTGCTCTTTCATGAGGCTACTAATGGTGATGTAGCCACAAAAAGCCTGAGTTCAATCAAACAACGTTTCAGAAGCCCTGGGGACAATGCTTAAAAAATTTGGGAACAGATAGTATTTCCCTTCAATCCTCCCAATAATGAGGGGAAACTTGAAACAAGCAGGTGAGCCCAGGGTGCCAATACCTTGCTCTGGGACTGGTGTTTCCACCAAAACTTTGGGGTTTTAAATGATGGAAGGGACAAGGTATGCTGGGGCCTGATGGAATCAACCTGTCCTGAAGGGCAAAATGTCTTTTTGGGTGTAAGCTGGGAGGATGGAGAGGCCTTTAAATTAGAACTGATGGGGGAAGGGGATTCCAACACCATTGCAGTAGGTAAGTCACATGGCATCACCTGAGGGTAGCAAGTGCTAGTGGGGACACTTCCACTGCTCTTGGGAGCGTGGGGAGCTCAGGAACACATTTGAAATGCTTGAACACCAACACACAGTATGAGAAACAAACAGGATAAACTAGAAGCACTGGTCAGCTCCCAGAGCTACAATATCACTGGCATTTGCATGAATCGGTAAAATGAGTCCCACAGGTGGAGTGTTGAGATGGAGGGCTCCAGGCTGTTCAGGCAGGGCAGACAAGTTGGAGGTATCATGTATGCAAGGGAGAGTTGATTGTACAGCACTTACAGTTAGTGCTCATATGGTTGGGAGCCTCTGGGTGAAGGCTAGAGGGATGGAAAACAAAGAAACATGGTAGTGGATGTCTACTACTGAGTGCCAGCTGGGACGTGAGCACTGATGACTTATTCTAGAAGCAATTATGAGAAATCTCTGGATTGCTAGCCCTTGTCCTTATGGGAGATTTTTAACTTCCCACACATCACCTGGGAGTATAATATTGCTGTGATGAGCAGGACTTTCTTGACATTTTCAGGAGATAATAACTTCTTGTCAGAGGTACTCAGTGAGCCAAGGCCTCCTAGGCTTGCTATTTGTGAATAGAGGCTCATGGGGGATGTAATTTTAGGTGTCTGTCTTGGCCATAATGACCAGGAAATGTTGAGTTTAATGGCTGAGCTTTCAGTGCAATGAGAAAAAAGGACACCAGCATTGCTACCCTGGATTTCAGCAGAAAAAAACCTTTACGCTCTTCATGGAGCTCTTTAGCAGAATACCCTGGCAATCTGCTTTGGAGGGGTCCATGAGTGCTTTGAGGAGTCCATGGTCAAGGTTTCAGAAGTGCCTTTAGAAGCACAGGAGCAGACAATTCCGTGCATTGTAAGTCAAGCAAGTGGGGTAGAAGACCAGCTTGAATGAACAAGAAACTCTTTGTGGAGCTCAAGAGGAAAGATAATTTGTATGGCCACTGGAAGTGAGATCAGGCTTCACAGGAAGAGTACAGTGCTGTGGTTTGTAGACACAAAAGGCCAAAGCTCATTTAGAACTAAATCTGGCCAGTGTTGTGTAAGATAACAAGAAGAGCTTTTCCAAGCCTGTTACTAGCAACAGGAGGTCTAAAGAAAGCATTGGAGTGATACTTGATGTATATGATAATCTGACTAGCAGGGATGAAGAAAAAGTTGAGGCATTAAAGGTTATTAAAACGTAAGGCAGGGTTCATGTGGGTGAAACATTTTCAGTCAATGTGATTCAGCATATTAGTTTACTGAAAATATTTTAAAACAACCTAACAAATACAAAATCATCCATTTTTCCCAGAAGTCAACAGAAAAGATGAGATCATGGCAGGGAGGCTTGTGCTATGTTATTTCATAACATATTTCATAACATTCAGGAATGTCCCAGCTTGGTGTCTTCCAGTAAAGTAATTTTCACAGCATTTGGAGGGAGTTCAATCCTGTGGCCACTGCACAGGGTACTGAGCAGCTGGGCATCTTAGAGGAATACAGCAGGCAAAACTTACAAATCGTGCACATCTTCCCCACCAGCCTGCAACACGCTGCAAGAGAGAAACTGCTCACAGGTCTGTCTCAGTTAGAGGAATCAGAGCTGTTAGGCAGACTAGAAGGGACTTTCATGCTCTATTTTCTCATCTTGTGAAGCTGTAAGCAAGAAGCACAAAGCCTGCACCGTACCTTTCACTTCTGGCCGATACTGCATGCCATCATCTTTCTTTCCAACTGCATTTGTGTCATCTGTTTCTAGGTGATAAATACATGCATGGTTACTTATTAGGAAAGGATATTTTCCAGACCAGTATGTGTGCATCACTGATCAGCCAGAATAATATTCAAAGAACTATTTTAAATTGCAGTAAAGCTGGACACACTCCCACATTGTTCCTCCCACACAACCAGGTTGGTATCACACCTAGTCCTTAGCCCCGGTGTCCAGACCAACATGGCAACCTCAAGCTTTAGGTTTTGAACTAAAAACTTGTCTGTGGTATGGACCTAGGTTATTTTGGTGACAGTCTGTTTTGGTGCTGGAACTGCCCAAGTTACAGATCTAAATGTAACTCACAAAAAGTTGGTAGAAATCTGTTATTCCCATGAGAAAGTCCTAAATGCAAGCCCCCAAAACCGAAGTATTATGGGCAGGATTAGCTACAAGGCAGTAGACAGAGGGCTTCAGTGGACCATTCCAAGACTGGAAAAGGAAATTATAGAATCACTTTGGTTGGAAATAAGCATATTTCAAATGCTTATTTCTAAATAAGCATTTGAAATGCAAATAAGGGAAAAAACCCTTAAGAATAAAGGATCAATGTCTGTGCAATCAGGGCCCAACCTGACTCACACTGGAAGCACATTTTACAGCCCACAGCAACAGGAGGGAAGATTTCCCACACACCTGTACTCCTTCTGCTCTCCTACCACGCCCTCATGTAAGAACTGTTGGACTATTGCTTAGATTTTCCCAAGAGCTTTTCCTGTCTTTCCAGGTAACAGCAGCCAAAGAAAGGCAGTGTAAACACAGCACTATGTGTGTAGTGTGGGGAACCCAAAATTACAGTGATGAGTTCACTGATAACTGCATCGGTGACTTCTGACCAAAAATGGAAAAGGGAAAGTCTACCAAGCCCAGTTATGTCAGAATTTAATTTTTCCAAAAAGCCAAAATTAGTCCTACCTGAGCAGTGCCCAAGGTGCCTGATGTCAATCTGCTCTTGCCTCAGACATGATGCCTCTCTGACAAAGCACGGATTGTTATAGGAACTTCCATCAGAAGCACATACAGGATTAAAACTGTATCCACTGCAGTCTATGTTACATACACACCTGTTAATTGAAGCATACAGCAAAACAAAATTGACATCCAGCAAACAAAAATTAAGTCATATTAAGTCCTAAGTAAGCACTAGTTCGTGCATCAGTGCCAGGAGGGGAGAGAATGCTGCATGAGGATGCTGAAGAAGTCATTGGCATCTCAGGCTTCCAAGTACAAAGTACAAAATTGTGAATACATGCTTCAGTGTGCTTTTCAGTAATGTATTAATGTTTCCTGTAGTTTTACTCTGGTATCAATCTCATAGAATACACCTGAAAAGTGTTAACACACAAGTAGGAAGATTTACTACACTAATATACCAGTTTGTAGTAGTTATTCTCCAGTGTGAAGAAAATCAGAAGAATATTCTAACGTTTTCAGTGTCAGGGTCCTTGAGAGGGAAAACAAAAAGGACTCCCATTTCTGTTAGGCAATAGAAAGGGGATATATATATATATATATAGGCTCTATAGACTCAATATGCTTGGTTAATATTGGTTAATATCTTGCTGTGTCATTTCAGAAAGACTTTCATTCATACCTTTGAAAGTTAACAATAGGTCTATTATGTTGTATTTAAAACAGGATTATGCAATCTGAATTATTTCATATTGCACCCCATTAACATTTTGGTTGTTTAGGATGAATCATTTTCCACACAATTTGCAGCTAGGGATTGTAAAATGAAAAATGAGGACCTAGCGTGTAGCAATTTCCTAACCACACAGAGGTAGGACAGCCAAAGACTCAGATAGGACAGTGAGCTGTTCATGTTTAGATACTTCTGTAGCCCCAGCAAGAAGTCCAGAAATTTTACATATGTGAATGGCACAGGAAAACTGTGCAACTTTGCATGCCTCACACCCACACCCCCTGATTATTTTAATCAACATTCTGCTTTCTAACTGAACTTCTATTTTTGCATTAAAGTTTCTGTGTATGTTCCACATTGCTCTGCAAGTTCATCTCCACCTTTGGGATGGGGAAAATAAGGAGTGTAGCTGCAGAATGAGGGGGAAGACAAGGTTGGCACCATGTCCATTTCTCAGCCAAGCTCCTCCTGATGTCATGAGTACGAGAAAGCCACTCTGCACCTTCTGAGAAGGTAGCAGTGGGCACAAGACCCTCTCCTTGGCAGAAAGCTCTACAGGGGAACATGGTCTGACTGCTGGAGTGGCTATTGGCTTCATCTTGATGTGACTTACTCTTGTAAGTCACAGGAAGGGGGAAAACATCCAAGCAACCAACTTACTAGTTTTTTTTATGTTCTTTCCCACTGTTGCAGATAAAATTAAACTATTAAACAGACAAATATATGCCTCAAGCTTGTAACAAATCGGCAGCAGAACCAAATTCCATGCTGCAGAAACACTGAAAATGGCCAGCATGCTTTTCTCTCTTTCTCTCCTTCCATGAGAACCTTTTGTTCCTTAATTTAAAAATTCTAATTTTGCAGGTAATTTTCCATGCCTGTGAACTTCAGATTGTTGCTAGACAGAACATCTCTAGTGCAAACAGGGTTTTAAGTGCACCTACTGACAGTGAAAAACTGCCCCAGTAATGAGTCTCTACACATCTTAGGGGCCTACTTCCAAGTACTAATGAAACCTCTAAATATCCACATGATGACCATATGACAATCTTTCTTACTAGAAATGGTAATGGTTGTAAACCTTAGAACCAGGATGGAAATACTATTTTGTTTACCTACTCCCACATGATGTTAAGACTAATCAGGGGTTTATTAGGGTTTATTACATACAAATAAAAGGCTCGTGGCTCAGCAGTCATGCATATTTATTGACACAAACTAGCAGAGAGCTGGTCCTCATTTGTATGACACTGGCTGTGTGTACACAGATACCTTTGCTCTCCCTTAAATCTGCCTGCAGTCACCATCCAATGTCTGTAGCATCATGATTATGGTTGGGTTTTGTCATTCCTGGTGACTAATAGGGTGAGTTTTGAAAATATCTTTTTTTCCTTCATGGTGACACTACAGACTAAAGTTGAAACTGCTTGAAAACTGCTTATGTTTCCATGCTTTGCTGTGTTTAGGTTTAACATCTAATATTCAATGCTTACTTTTTCAGAATTGTCAGATGCTTGCTTTAGAGGTGCTTATGAATTCCTGACCCTGATGTTCTGGTCAACAGTCTCAGTCTTATCTCTAACCATCTCATCGAGGTACAGAAATGTCACATGTTGACCCCCTTCACATGTATCTGATTATCTGCCTGGTGCCATTGGCTACTTCTTTGCCACGACCATGATGCCAAGTGGCACTTGCAGCCTTCCCCTGGCACTCGGGCACTTGGCAGAGCTGTCTGACATGTAAGAGCGGGTGGTTTAAGTACACTGTGGCATAATGAACCATTGAACTGGACTGATGCACTTAAAAAAAAAATTGAAACTCTTATTCCAACATAAACCTCTGAAGCCTTTCAGAGGGTGGAAGGAGAATGAGTTAAGGAGAGGACATGGCTTGAGTGCAGTGGTCTGAAGGGAAAAGGGTTTTCCACAGATGCAGTAGGGTGGTGGCAGAGGGAGCCAGGAGCACATGTTAGAAACCTGGACTTGTCAGAGAGTCTGCATAGCACGCAGTGAATTTGTCCTTGCTCATAGACAGTTTTCACTATACCAAAAACACAGACAGGACTGCAGGAAGTGCCAAATAGTGAGATGAGAGCAGTGACATATGGGGAGTGCTGCTCTTGACAGAAAACATGAAAAGAATGTTGTTTTTAACTGCTTGGTGTTTGTGAAGGAAGGTAAAACCACGGGAGAGCAAGTTGCTGCTCTGATGTTTCACATCAAACACTTTGAAACTGGAGCCTAAGTCCCTGTGAGGGGACAGGACCACCACAGACTGAAACAGAAAAGCAGCTCAGGAAAGTATTGGAAGACCTGCCAACAAACCCACTATGAAATACTGAAAATATGTTATATCCTGACGTCAGAGAGCTACAGAGGGCAGATAATAGCTTGATACTGAGATGACAGGAAATCCAACTGCTTGGTGGAAGCCAGCTTCCCCCCCACCAGCAAGATTGGGAGCCAAAGCCAAGAAGAAGTCAAAGCTCAAGGCTACCAAGCAGAGCCCATGGGTCTGAGCCATACCACAGATCACACAAGAAGCACACAAAGTGTGTGAGAAGACACAGCAGACAGTGAGAATGAGCTAAAAGTGGTATCTTAAAGGGCAAGAATCTTATCAGAGGCCTTTGCCAGTGGGAGAACCTGTAAGAGGCACCAAGGACTGTTTTCCTTCACAGCTAAGACTGAGACTGAACACAAAATTGTAGTCCCATATTGCAATCTGTTCCCTGATGTCTCTCTCCTGCTGGGGACAGAGCACAGAGACAGCATAAGGACAATGCAGAGCTGCTCACAAAGGCAGGGTAGGAAAAGCTTGAGATCATGAAGGGGGAGCAGGGACACACGGGAGAAGCACAAGAGGGGCACTCAGGAAGAGAGTGAACCCTAAATGTAAAATTCAGAAGAAAAGAGTTAGCCACTTAAGGTAAAGTCACTTAAAGAATTGTGTATTAAGGACATCTTGAATGTGCTTCATGCTTCATACGAGAAAGAAGTGAATGACTGCTTCAAATCTTTCTGGAAAAGCTTGTTACAAAAGACACACTGGAGTAAAAGGAGTTAGAGCCCTACAAACATTTTCTTCACTATGACATTCCTATTGGTTTTAACCAAAAGGATTTAAACAAGTTAATGCTCCAAATCGATGTCTTGCTGGAGGAGGTTCCTGCTTAAGGTCCTCAACAGATCATTCTCTCACTTAGCCCAGGAAAGTCAACAGGATATATTCAGATGTTTTCCTGATGTACTAGGGTATACAGAAAAACTACCTGAATTTTGTCACCTGTCATCAGAGAGCTTATGCATTATCATTCATTAACACCATTAGTTAAACAAAAAAGCATTTGAATTTCAAGAAAGGACAAAGTGATATAATTAAACCAAACAGATTTTTTTGGGTGGCTTTAATAAGCAAGAATGAGGATGTACAACTCATTTTTTAGGGGCTACTAGGTGTAACAAAGTGCTTCGTAAAATGAAGTGACAAGCTCAGGCTGTAAGAGCACTTGCTGCTATTAGTAAATTAATTAGATCCCCAGAGATCAGAACACATTTCAAGGCTACCTTTTGTTTTCAGGCTTCAAGGTGTATGTGGTCTGTTGGAAGTTCTGTGTGCTTAAAAACCCTGGCAGGTTCAAAGAAAAGAGAGGGGGGAAAAAGGAAAGGAAAAGCATGACTGACTTGTGGAGTGGGCTTGGCTGCTGGGAGAGACTGGCATTTCCAACAAATGGATGAGGCTGCTGCATTTATGCCCACCTGGGTCTTGCTCACAAATGTATTTTTCTGGCCTGGCCTCAGAGGGAGTGCTGCTTGCTATCCCTTCCCAGTCACTGACAACGTGAGCATTCTCAGGTACTCACCAATTCATTGGCACATCTGCTTACAAATGTAAAATGGAAACACTAGAGTAAAACAAAGTGTGTGAAATGCACACAGATGGATAAGGGGATGCTTGATGGAATAAATTTAGGTGAATTGAAATAGCAGGGGCATTGCAATTGCAGTTAAGAATATAACCATGCCAAATGAAGGATTACCTTTCATTTGATGCTTCTTCCCTTGTGTGCAGTTCTTCCCTGATGAAACCTGAACTAAGAAAATCTGGATTTCAAAGTGATTTTTCTACCTATTTGACTAGAGTTGAATCTTCATCAGGTTTTTGGTGTGTTTTTTAAAATCCCTTTATAGCACAAGAGAAGTAGAATTCAATTCTACAAAGCTCCTTTGTGCCTGGCTTTAGCACTCTGCCCAGCAACTCAGAGCACCCTTTGAATACCATAAGCTTCAGCTATTTTCCAGACATCCCTTATCCTGCATTCCCCTTTTTCATGGCATGGCTCTCTCTGACCACTGGAGAAATTCAGTCTTTACTGCAGTGAGCTTCTCACAGCCTACATGGTGAACTGATGCTTGC